ACCATCAGATGGAACTCTGTGTCATATTTGACTTGTGAGGCCTTTTTCAGTTGCTTTCTTAAACGATCATAGGCGATATTTAAAAGTGGACTGTTCAGCAGAGTTCAATAGGAGATGATATTTGTCAGAATAAATTACTTTAAGGAGCAGTAATGAGCATGATTTTAAGTAAATTTAAAAAATGTAAAGACAAGTTTTTCTGGAATGGCTTTGGATTTCCTGTTTAATTAATAAGGCTTAAGCTAAAGCTGTTAAGTATTCCCCATACTGCTGGCAAATAATGAGATCTGAACATTGGTCTAGAAAGTGAGACTGAAATGGATCATGGATGTGTTTAATGTTGTGTTCTAGATATTTTTCAAGTAACATCGGCTTTCTGTGTGTAATGGGAATGTTGTGAGGATAAGGCCCACCCTCCTAGTGGAAAGAAACAAACAGACCTAGGTTTTAATCCTGCTGCTGGCAAGTTGCTAACACTCCCAACTTCATTTACTCGTCTATAAAAATAGTTGAAATAATTTCTACCTTACGGTGTTACGAGACTTGATATAATGTTAGAAAAGCTCCTCATACAATACTTGACACATATTAGAAATTCAGTGAAAAAAAAGATTATTTATTCCCATTAACACTTATGCATATACACACATGCACCAAAACCTTGCATAAGTGGTTGGATAAATACGTTGTATTTAGTAAACAAAGAAAAATTGTATTTCTTCTTACCTAGTAGCCTACTCTGGATAATAATAGTCAGGTCATTGTGATTGTATTATTTTGTCTGCTAAACTTAACAATCATTTTTGGAAAGAAACGTCAAAGGTTTGCTGATTTATTCAGTGCTTACTTCATATTTGTCCTTTTGGTACAAATCAATTAGAAATCATTAAAATAATTAATGATAAATAATTTGAAATTTTAATTCAGAATTTATAAACTCTTTGTGTTCTTTTTTTTTGTTGTTTTTTAATGTGGTTTCTTAATATTCAGATTCCACTCTCATCTGACTCATACATGAGTTACTTGACATTGGTTCCAATTTGAAGTATAGTTTTTTTTAAAGTATCTTCTTGTCATTACTAAGCTAAAAAAATGCATTTTTCTGACAGGAAAAGGAAAATGAAAATAATGGTACTAGTGAAAACT